GGTGGATCCGTTATGGTCTGGGGAGGTATCACCATGACTGGAAGAACTGATTTACTGGTACTGGAAGGAAATCTGACTGGGCAGAGATACAGGGACGAGATCATCATTCCAATTGTGCTTCCATTCTTAAGGGCCATGCCAGGTCACGCGGTTTTCCAAGATGATAATGCCAGGCCTCACAGAGCTCGCATCGTGACAGCTTGTTTACAACAATTTGGGGTGAATCGAATGGATTGGCCAGCATTATCGCCCGATATGAACCCCATTGAGCATGTTTGGGATCTGCTGGGATGGCATGTTTATGCCAGAGTTCCCCCCCCTGCTAACCTTCGCCAACTTCGCAATGCATTGTTAGAGGAGTGGCAAAACATTCCCCAGCGGCAGATTGGACTGTTCATTCGTGGTATGCAACGTCGATGCAATGACTGTGTTAGAGCCAGGGGTGGTCATACCCGTTATTAACTTTTGCAATTTCACTTTTGTATGGTACCAGCCAATACGGCATTCTGGTTCACTAATCATCAATGCACACGGCCTTCTGAACATGGATTTGAAGACCTAAATGAATGATTTTTGGTTTTTTTATTGTTAGCTTTCACAAATACGATTTTCCTACGAGATATAGTGAGTGGTTTCAGTGAGTCTAAACTTTTGATGGGTAGTATATTATCTAATCTACAGAAATATTCGTTGTTTTAATATTGCTCAGGTTTGCTTTATATCTAAACTGTCGACAGGAATTAAATCATAACTAACTTTATATTCTAACTCACTTACTCATTGTTCCTAAAGGTTTATATATCCTCGGAGTCATATATGTTTACCTGTTATTATATACTGCCTTTGTAGCGCGGTCACCGTAGGGATTCTGGGTCAGACTAGGTTCTCATGGAGCAATGCTTGTACTTATGAAGAGCGATAAGTAACAATTTCTGACCTTGCTTGTAGGTCATTGTCTCGACGGTATTGAACATTACTCATCCCATCAACTGATGGCGTTGTATATCGCCGGATTTACAACATTGACTAATCATTTCAACTTCAGTTTAAAGTTGTTGTAACATGGCTACAGAGGTAGCCTCGTGGTAGCCTAGTGGTAGCCTTGTTGACGCCCAGTGGTATAAGCACCGAAGACACTGTTTCAGCACCTATCTTGCACAATTGTATCCCTCCTTTTAACACTATGAATAGATGATTTGTCCACTGAGAGATACACACACGCAAAATGCTTACCTCCTCCAACATATACCTGCACTGGACTCCGTAACATATCTTCTTTTGAATCCCTCACAGACCTGTGTTCGGAAAAGCATATTCATTTGTTTGATTACAAAGGTCAATCACAAGGCCTAAGATGTCATTTATAAGGAAACAATTGAGGATATGATTCACAATGGCATATGTGTTAGGTGTCAGGTGTCAAATCTCTGACTTTTAGAGTTTCGTCTCATATTAGTTGAAATTACCAACATACCCCTCAAAGCAACTTTAAAATCAACTGACTGCCTCCCTTGTCCAGGGATAGAACGTCTGTCAGGATATCGGAGGGTCGCGGGTTCGATTTCCGCTTGCATCATACCAAAAGACATTAAAATATTGTATTTGTTATTACCTTGCCTGGCGCTCAGCATTAAGGGGTTAAGCAATAAATAGTCGGCTCGGCTCGGACTGCAACATTGTATCTCAGTGGGCTAGCATTATAAAATCGGCATAGTCCAGTCTAATAAAAGCATAGACACACACAGACGTGCATCCACGTCGCTAGAGAAGTGCAATAACCTTGAACGCCACGTTAAACCATTTTTTACTTCACCTTTAAACTCAACTAACACAGCTATATTTTGAAGGTGAATGAAGTTAATATGATCAAAATTGAAAAAAATATAAAATATACATACAAACCAATAATACTTTTCTCGGTGCTGTTGAGTAGAGATCCAATTACGTTGACACTAAATGAACGCGACCATGTATCACATGTTAACTGGTTGATTGTGGACTTCTTACAATACCAACTAGCGCCATTGTTCTCATTCGTAAAATTACACCACTCATTCGTCTTGAAAGAATCCTCTTGTCTAACTGAACACGTTGTTGCATCTGTCAGCTTGTTTGCCCGGAATTCAGATACAATCTTCCAGGGACTGTTGTGCTGGTGGTATATCATATAGTTTAGAACAATCTCCTCCTTCCTTGTAGCAATAAATGCCTTAATTGTAGCACCTCCCGACCACACGGCTCTCAGCAGAGCAGTGTAACTTCCATTATTGAAGTCCTTTACCTGACCGGCAACGGAAGCTGCTGCCTCTCGGTTCTCCATCCAAACTCTCAAAAAATCACCTCCCGTAAATTTGCGGTTGCCATTCAAATCATTCAGATCTATTTGCACTTGAATCTGCTCTCCTAAATTGTAGACTTTATGGGCAAGATTGAGATAAATGCAAGATTTGTTCGCACCTGCACATAATGAAGGCACAAAGACTGTTCCATAACGCATGGCCTCTTCTGTGAGATTCCTCGTTCCTCTTCTAGAAAAGTAGCCCCTAGACTTAGTTATATACCATCACATTAATCGCCTCGCACATCCAGAGAATCGCCAAACCAATATATATTTAAACACATGTGGTATATACCAAATGCCAACGCCAGAATATTGTCAGTCTCGATTATCTGTCAAAATAGATTGTATAGTTTTATCTTCATCAGTGGTTTCTGAGAAGATGACGTTTTCAGTACGAAGAAACGTAGTTTGAGATCATTTAACAGCATGGCCAAACACATGGTCAAATGAAGATCAACATTTGCAATCTTTCAAAATAGTGAACAAATGTGTTGAGGCCCTATACCGGCAAATCATATAGTAAGTTTGATTACGTCTTGCAAATAAATGGTCGTGTATGGCCCTTATTAGTTCTATTTTAAATGTAGATGTCGATCAGGTACAGTGTGTTGGAAGTGTATCTGTTCATAAAAGTTTGTAAAATACTTCTCTTGTGGAGGTACATGTTACTAAAGAGCCAGTCAAACATGTTTTGCAAGAGAACACGTTAGTGTGTTTTAATATTAAACCTCATTCTAGTCAGCAAGAACACTTTTAACCAAAAATCCGCTGTGAATCATTCAAAGCCGGTGTAAAGAAATATTTGGACTCCCATAGTATTTGTATCCCCCAGTACTTCTACAATAAAAAAAATCATAGTAATTGGACCCCCCATTCCATAGAACTATGGCTCGTCTGTGGCTATTGGACCCCCTCACCTTAAGTAGAAATTTGATCCCCATTGTATTTGAACGCTCCCATAGTAATTAGATCCCCGATTTGGACCCCAATTTGATTTAAACCAGCACAGTGGCTCTGATCAAAACTTTAACATATCCCAAGTTCGAATTTCGCCAGGGCGGCGGAACTCTGTACGTGGCGGGTACTCGTTTTAATTTCTGCGAGGGCAGGGTACAATATTATTCACTGTGGTATACAGCAGTGTCCTACTTCGTTATCCTGATATAAGGACTTGATTGCAGGTGAATCTATATGTGGTGTGGTAAATTCCCCTTAGTTTCTGGCCCGTCATTGAATAACAGAGGCAGCACATCACAGGCACCTGGTGTTAATAAACAAATGATTTTTATAACAGATAATTTTGAAAAAATATTTTAAAAACCTTGACAAGCCTAGCATTGCATTTTTCACTGCATATAATGTGAACACCAGGTGCTAGTGCAGGACATCAATGCCGACTTACCCAGTCGCATATGTCATGTTTTATCACTTGGTGGCCATGTACAACAAGACAGATAGACCAACTGTTTTATTTATGCATCATCAACAATCATGTTATATAATCGTATCCCCGCCGACACTCCTCCTCGTATACACGCGGCGGGGCGGATACGATTTTCATGATTGTTGATGATGGATTGAATGCTCTGTCAGTGAAAGGTCCTGCCTTACAATTCACTAGGATGCCAATTCAAGTAACTACAACACTGTTTGCAAATTTTTAATTGAATGCATATTTATATGAAAGAAGGATACATATTACGCACAAACCATCTCAATCTCGATCATTTTTATGGCTGTAATTAGGTGTGCACATCTCGGACACAATGGACATTTATGTAACAACAACTCCGTTTGCATTTTGTGAATGGATGCATATTTATATGAAAGAAATATACATGTTACACACAAACCATCTCTACTCTGTCAATTTTAAAATCACTTCTGCTAATATACTCTTCCATTGGAGTGATAGTTATATCATCCAAAAGATGTGCGTGGGACACCATAAACTGTACAACAGAAGTTCATACAAAACCATGAAGACTTTGGCTTCCAAAAACTGCAAAACTTAATGAACGAAAACGGCAGTTTCCGTCACCTCGCATCCGAACAACATCCTTTGGTGATTCTTTTGCAGGCAGTAAAGTTGGGGAGCTTCATTATAGAGTGTTTTGACACTCAAGGCCAAACAAGCTTGCTTTTGCCCTATGCCAGTATTGGCCAACTGGAAAATGAAAAAGGGGGTCTGTACCGCAGTCGCCCCGACTGGGTTTTGCTGTTGCACTAGACGTTATGGTATGGACATCCAGAGCTAGGCTCCACGAATTGACAAACTTGCTGAATATATCACCCTCAGGCAGGTCTGAATACAACTTTCTTATCTTGAATGGGAGCTTCGCTTGCATTTTTGTAGTCTGGCCTGATTCCGAGGTGAAGAGTTTGCTCCTTTCGGCTGTAGTTGAATTGTCCTTTGCTACTTCCGATTCTTTGTACAGTTTCAAATTGGAACCATTGATTATTGTCTTCTTTCCACGAAAACGATACGTCCCTTTGTTAAGTCCATCTGTTACAATGAACGGACCAGACCAGAGAGTTTTCAGTTTGTTCTTTCCTGTAATATTTCCTGGAATTACGAGACGGAGAATCATAGTGTTCTTTCTGGGTTTTCTCAGCAGTTGATATGTTGCATGCTGCAGTGGAGCGGCTATCAGCTAAGGCCGGTGTATTTTTTATAAGAGAAAGGAGATCTAAAACACTTGATTCATAAAATGCTCACCTGGTTCAAGCTCCACATATTTATGAGGACAAAGGTTTCTTATTTCATTAACCCTGTCTGTGTCAGCCTCATGTTGCCCTTCACGAAATTGGTGTTCTATTCGACCGCATAGTTGGAGCCATCGAGAATCTGGCGATATAGACATTCCTTTAACATTTGTATTATACGTTGTGTAACTCCGCACTCAGCAATATTCCAACTAAATGACGCCATCCTGTAGTAATCGAATCTGGACAACAGTCATTGGTGTTACGAGCAATGCCCAATTCTGTCGGGGTTTGATCACATGCAGGTCATCGATAACCTACTACAAGAATAGGTTGCTTTGACATATGCTGACATGGAATCCCTGTGGGGTATTGTATGATATAATGTCTAGTCAATGGCTTTATGATAACAAAAGAAATCCCCTGGTCAGTATTCCCTAAAATAATAAATTTCAACACAAAATGCACAGTGTTTTTACATAAACGACAACATGTTACTTATTAAATATATAAATGATGACACTGTAAATTTTAATATTCATAAAAAGTTGGTATTCTTGCTTATTTAGGTTAGGTGTTTTATTCAGAAAAGGGAAATATATGCGCATCGGGCTGATAAAAAGGTTCTCTACCTCGAGGCAGCCATTTTCCTTCACACAGCGATCGACCGGAATAAAGACACTGAGCATGTCTGGGAATAGGCAGCCATTTTGGTACCAGTAGCTGTTGGAAGTAAGGGTAAGTACTTGATTTACGATTTAGCCAAGCAACATGAACCCGAGAATATAAAACTTACACAAATGGTACAAATAGAAACAAATAGTACACATGTATATTTGGAAACATGATTGTGACACATTTGTTAAAGAAGTTCCACGATATCAACTGCTTCACAGGATAACCTGAATGATTGATGTGTTTCTGTCATAATTCAGCTTTATTATTTACATTCAGAACTGTCCATATGTTTTTTATATTCCAGCCGGTGATGGTGGACAGTAAATACACGTGGTAGGGCCAGACAATAAGTGATTGATATTACGAACAACAATCCACACTTTCGAGCTGTGATGACACGTATTCAATCAAGTTACCGAGTACCCGATTAAGTCGTGCGCATCCTAACCCGGAATCCTCACGGAGGTCAGATGTTTGTGACAAAAGACAAAACTATGGACAGTAAAACATATGGGGAGACAAAGGGATGGCAGCGTGGAGAAGGTCGTACCCATAGTCCTGGTGCCAGATGAACTTGCTTCCGCCCTTAGCGTTCTTCATCGTAAGCTTGCTGTGGTAGTGATACACCTCTCCACCAAGAAGCTGAAATAACAGTTTGCATGGTGAGTGAATTGGATGAGGCTTCACACATGTTACCCTTGTGGGGAATCGAACACGGGCCTTCTACGTGACAAGTGAACGCTTGAACCACTAGGCTACCACACCATCCCATTAGTTACTGATCAATATTCTTGGTTGAACCTACTGGATATTTTGTATTAAAAAATATATTTATAATGAGGAATTGACAATGTTCTTTTTTGTGTTCATGGAGGTATAAACATAGGCGTGTGGGTATGACCATAAATTTTGATTATCATGTACAGATTAAAAGCAGCAAAGAGTGTTTTGATTATCCTAGCTCATCCAGGCTGTTTAGGCCCATCATCAACTCGGGTCCCTTGCCCCCTCTCGAAGCCCTGACAGCGAATGGGACCCATCCAGAACTTTTCGGCGAATGTGAAGATTCCCTAGCACTGCAGCCTTCTACAGTACCAAGATTGTCAGAAGGGCTGTATTCCTCGCAGCAAACCCAGGTACTCTCCCAATGTCAGTCAACAGATTGGGATGTACCAAACCTGAGGCTCCAAGAACAATGGGGAGTCAGAAACTTGGTACCTGGGATGCAAGCGTGACATTTTGAAAGCAATATTTGCCATGTTTTTTCTCAATCTTGTCTTTCACATTAGTGTCAGAAACTTCAATAATATAAATGCTTTTATTGGATTTATCAAAAAAGACAAGATCAAGTTTGTTAGACTGGATAGGTCTTGGGCTGTATACGGGCCTATTCTAAAGAATTTTGTATTTATCATTTTCCATGAAGCCTCTACATATTCTGGGTCATACCGTGGAAGGACCTCTGTGTCAAAACCTAAAGCATGGCGAAGACGGTAATAAAATGATCGAGCCACCCCATCATGTCGTAAGATACTGTAGTCGTGCCAAAACTCTGTTACAATGTGTTGGACAGTCTCATTAAATCGAGTACATAATCTTCATTTCATATTTACATTTTGATGCAGGTTTCGAGTGGGAAGTGAATGGCAAGCAGAAAGACTTCTGTTTCAATTTTGAGGCCAACCGACTTCAGCCAAGCGAAAGATTCTGCAGGGTTGCTTATCGTCTCAACACACTGCACATAATCTCGATGTAGTGGTCATTCAGATAGCCTCTTCATGAAAATTGAGTCTGGGGCCGATTTGATATGGCGCTTCACTTGGTTGACATTCATTTCTGTACCGTCCAGCAGTACAGACCCATCAACAAAATCAACACCGACATTGAGATTATGTCCCACATCCTTGGCTCGTTTACGAAAACTGTGGAATGTATTCACCATGAGTCTTGACATGCTTCACAAGAGGATCATCAGACAAATAAATGTGTGCAACACTGATTGAATTCGGTAGGCAATATTTCAAACAGAAATAAACCGCATGGGAAATCTTTGGTTCATTTGACTACTGTTGTGATTCCAGACCTGCAGTGGTCAGATAGCCTCACTTAAAGAGAAAACACTGGGTCGATTTGATATGGCACTACGCTTGGTTGATACTCATTTCTGTACCGTCCAGGGTGCCGTTTCACGAAAGCTTCTTAGCGCTACGATCTCCTACCCGCTGCGACCTAGTTTAGGATGTCCTAATGACATGTCTTACGACCGTTTCACAAAGGCATCGTAAGCCCGTCGTAAACCCCTCTTAAGATAAGAGTGAAATTACGATTTACGACATCCTTACTTGCGTAGCAACGCTTTACAATTCAAACCGGAAATGGAAGCGCACCTGTTAATTTTTATCAAAAAAGAGCCAGATGCTAAACATGAATGAAATAAAAGCTCATGTGGTGAGTATAGATAACTACAAACCTGTTCGAGTTTAATGATAGTCTGTTACACATCAAAGTTCCATCAATAGCTGTCAAGTGTGAGGGTTTGAATAGTAAATCCTGCGACAGCAAGCTGCACCGGCAAAAATAGTAACTCTCTTGTGTGGAAACACGGAAGATTGTAATATTAGAGTTGTTCCCCTTCGTAGGGGCAGACGACCTTAAGATCTATTATGGACGCTTCTGGACTGAAGAAAAGAAAGAGAAACTTCTCCTCGGCTGACATAGATATCATTGTGTCAGGCGTGGAAAGTAATTTTGACACGCTGAATTAGGCCTTTACAAATACAGTGACAAATAATACAAAGAAAAGATTTGGAAAGATATCACCACGAAGTAAGCGCCTTTTATTCTGATGAAACCTTAAAATGAAACTCTCATAAAATATAAAGGTGAGTCTAGGATTTTCACCCATGAAAGCAGGGGGACATTCCACTATATATTCATTTGTTTATTTATTTCAACTTACATATTTGTTTCCCAGAATGTTCAAAAACGTAACAAGAATTTGTCATGTGTTTCAAGGGTCATAAAATGTGAGGTATAATGAAACAAATTGGAAATGGGGGGAAAGGTTTATTGCGAGAAGTTGATCTATACTGGATTACATAATGTAATGGTTAAATAAGGTCAGATTATTTTCATTTGTTTGGTTTCACTTTATGACATAAACAACTACGAACCACCACTTCACTTCAAAATTGTATTAACTTCTCACTGTTAATGATCATTGCATAATGATCAAATATGAAACAACAGGAGAGTGGGTGAGTGATTGTTCCTCAAAACCACATCATCAATCTTGCCAGTTTTTTATGATGAACAAATAAATTAACATCTTACACGAATTTTACACAGTACAGTCGTATTTTTAAATAAAGATACCAATTTCAAATAATTTTCACAAATGACACCATTACTAATCATAATAATATAAATAATAATAATAATTTTAAATATCAGACTAAATGCCACTGGTGACATAACCCGGAATGAGGATGAAGTACGTAAGAAATGGACGGACATGAAGGGATGTGTGAAGAAGGCAGAGTCAGCCAGGAGGCTGAATGCAAGGAGGACTGGTGGTGGACCACCCCCAGATGACCTTACTGCAACTGAAAAGAGGGTAAATAATTAACATAAATTCATGTCAGCATGAAGCCTACAAACAAAAATGTTTCAATATGTACCTGATAAAGTAAAATGGTTTGAAACATATTGAGTTTGTGTGACAATAGACATAATTCATGAAAAACTAATTGTGTATTACACATTTTAAAATAAACTATTATTATAGTAATATAGACACCAATTCCTTCTTTAAATAGATTCTACAACTGATTCCATCCTGTGCTATTGAGGGGATCTCAGGAGGCATGGAAACACCTGGTAAGGATGACACTTCCTTCTTGGGATTCATGTACACGTGTACTAAAGTCAATAAAGTATGTAACTTAATACAGTTTTATGGGTATTTGATGGTATATTTATGACATATTGACAGTATTTGTTATGATAACACCAATGAAAAATATGTTTTATTTATTTAACAGTGTTCAGCATGATTCCTTCAGTAGCTGATGAAGCTGAAGAAGCTACACAGGCAATAAAGTTTGGCAAATAATACTTCAAACTCATTTATTTCTTTGTTTTGAAGATGTAAATAAACTAAATATTGCCATATTCAAAAACTAATACCTCCTGCATATTGGCAAATTCCCCTTAGATATTAAATGTATTATAAATGAACACATGTATACAAAAGAAATATTTGAGATTTCTCGATGCACTTAACGGTCAGGCACAATTAAGCAATATCTTCAATACAAATATTTTAGTGGACTCACAACTTATATATTTCAGATTCTCCACAGGAGGTGTTTTACACTCCACTGACAGCTACAAGCACAGGAGACAATGATTGTGGAACTATCACAGGTATGAAATAATTTTTAATAATAAAGATAATCAAATGTTACAATTTACACTGATATGGTGAATAAATTCATATACTTGGTGCTATTTTATTCTAAAAATCCAAGTGTATGCTGTAAATACATGTGAACAAACTGAATACCGGTACCCCATGTGAGATGTTAGAAGTTACAATTATCTTAAAAATATTATATACATTTCAGAAAAGAACCAAGCCAGTCTGGAGGATATAATGATGACTCCTGCTATCAGAACCAGTATGTATTAAACATTATGTAACTTTATTCAATAGTAAATTTGTATTAACATTAAAAAATCAAGTCACTATATCATGAATTCTAGTTAATAACAATACAAATTTGTTTTCAAGGAAAACCTAAAGGGAAGCCTCTGATCAAGAAAACATCTAATGAAGGTATGGCATATATTTGTTCATAATGTAGTGGTTTCAGTATTACATATCATGATCATAAATGTTTAATAAAATGATATTAATGAACATCCAAATATCATTGATATAACCCAAAATTGTCTAAATATTTTCAGAAGACATTCTGGGAGAGATAAAGTCCTTACAAGCCAAGGAGGAGAGAAAGATGTTTCTCCTTGAGGAAATTCTGTCTGTGCAGCGGGACATCCGTGACATCCAAAGACAGAGCCTGGACCTGGAAAGAGAAAAATTTGAATATAAAAAATCATTTGGAAACTCATTGTCTCCCATAATCAAATTTGATTAAAGGCAGTGACTCATGTTACTGTTTACTTGTGATCACAAAGTTGTTTGTTGTTTGTGTTATTATTTAGATATAGCATATGTACAAAAGCAATCCATTTTCATAAACTCCAAAAAACAATAATATGCAATATTCACAAGTGTGGCCATAAAGTGGTGCTGGATTTTGAAAAAGTGCTACCTTACAACTTTTAGTATGGGATTATTGACATTATGTGGCCTCTTAGTAAAAGTATCACAATTGGATATGTATGCTACCTCATTTAAAACCTAGTGTTGATAAGATTTCCCCTGACTCTACATCCATCTATGTTGTGGTTATCAGCAGGACTGCTGTCCACCTCTGGTCCAGGAGTCTCACAAAGAACATCAGGCTCAGGCAACCTCAGTAATATTGCCAAATTATGAAGTTGAAAGCAGGCAGTAATAATTTTGATGCTCTTCTGTGGGCTGAATAACAGGCATCCTGTTGATTTGTGTAGACACCTAAGCAGATGTAACATACTTATATAGTTGTGTTTACAAATATAGTGATGAATATATCATGATATAACATTTATACTACGTTTTCCTATAATAATTAGATCCACATCAAGTGCTTTTATGAGTTATCATGGTGTAATATTTATACATCATTTCATATATAATTATAGTTTAGCAAGTAATACTTATCATCAAGTAATACTTATCATCAGGTAAAACGCATATTTTATATTATGCGTTTTACCTGTTAGTATAAATGTTATATCATGATAAATACATGCCAACAGCACAGGTATTTTGAAATCAGAATGACATACAATCAGCAATACACATACTCATTAGTCCAGTTACTTCAGCAAAACCTTGAATTAAAACATAAACCTTCCATGAATTAAATATTTACCTGAATCTAGATTTGCACAATCCAAATGCCCTCTCAACTGAGTTCCTTGTTCCAATATGACAGCGGTTGTATTTCTCCTCTTTTTCATTTGCAGGGTTGTTGACAGGTGTCAGGAGGTAGGGTCTACAGGCATACCTAATGTAGAATGTTTTGATAAATTTAATGTTCCCAATATATATGTATGTATACATTAAAAGACAAACATGACATAAATAACTTGGACATGCATGTACCTACCCTGAATCACCAAGAAGCCAGATGTCATATTTCCCTTCCTCCAGATGCCTTTTCAAATTGCAGTTGTTGAAAATATGTGAATCATGGGTTGATCCTGGCCATTGGATAATAATGTTTGTGAATCTGCAAAAATAAATAAATACATACATAAATAACTAAATCCACAAGTACACATTTGTTAAGAAAATAATATTTAAATAAGCCGAATAATTATGAAACATTTGGACATAAATGAGCCTACAAGAGCTATTGACAAATCAATTATGACACAATGACGTTTATTATCTGAAAGTACCAGCAAGTCTAGATTGTTTGTTTACATTGCAAGGGTCAAGGACGTCAAGGATATTTACCGGAGTTGGGCGTCGCACACAGCTTGGACATTGGTGGCGTGGAATCCTTTTCTGCACACATATACTGCTTCATCTAATGCTGGTCGTTGAATAGGTGTCAAAGTACAATCTATGCAGCCAACAACTTTCGGAAAACAACAGATGTGGAAGAAATCCTCCGCTAGTTTAGCGTGTTTGTCGGGCGTTAGAAACCGGATCAAGTCATACGACTTTACGATTGCATCTGTCGTCTTTTCCAACATGCGACAAACACTTGATTTGGCAATACCATGTATATCTCCTAATTCGCTTAGGAATCCCCCTTTTGAAAAGTATCTAAGTGTTACTAACACCTGCACATGGACAGGTAAGGCACACGAACGTTGGGTCGGCCGAGAGATCTCCGAGCTGACCCGATCAACCAGCTGTAGGATGGTATGTCAAGGAAAGCGATACCTGGCAATCAGTTCTGTGTCGGTCAAAGTATCCAACACTTGAGTCCTATCCCTGAATATTCGCTCTCGCCTAATGTTTCTCCTGTTCAAAATTTCACTAATTCTCAATAGTGTCGCCATATCAGACGCTGACTTAGGATGTCGTAAGCTAGTTACAAGTGCCCACGACTTGGTGATTCAGATGTTTTTCTCAGATGTCTGCGATTTCGTCTCAGGATCTGATTGTCCTCTGTAATGACCTCGTAGGAACGGGGTCTGTCTTTGATTGGTCCCAAGACTTCTGCTTTCCGCCACAGTTTGTCACCAATTGTTTTGGGTGAGATTCTCACGCTATCACCTCTCTGAAGAAAAGGAAGCTGTTTCGTACCCTGGTTGTAGTATTGAGCTGCCTTGTACTTGAGGTTTCTCATCTTTTCAGTAGTTCCTGAAACAGTCTCCGGAATCAGCAGATTTTCAGGGATAGGTAACAATGTTCGTGTTCGCCTGCTCATGAGCCTTTGAGCAGGACTCGAGTCAAGACCCTGTGTCGGTGTGTTACGAAAGTTCAGTATGGCCAAGTAAGGGTCACTCTTGGCCTGTTTGGCTTTCTTCAGTAATTGTTTTGCAGTTTTCACTGCCTGTTCTGCCTTTCCGTTGCTCTGAGGGTAGGCTGGAGAGGATGTTACATGATTAAATCCCCAGTCATGAGCGAATTTCTTGAATTCCTCTGCTGAGAACTGTGGACCGTTGTCAGATATGCAAGTGTCTGGTATGCCATGTCGTGCGTGCTGTCCCTTTAGCTTGTTCACTACTGTGGCTGACCTGGTATCTGTAAGGTAATCAATTTCCCAATAGTTTGAGAAGTAATCTACAGTGATGAGATAGTTGTTGCCATCTAGAACGAACAGGTCTGCTCCAACTTTGGACCATGGTCGGTCTGCTACTGCGTGTGACAACAAGGGTTCCTTAGCTTGTTCCCTGTCACTTCCACGGCAGATGTCACATTTTGCGACATAATCTTTGACTGCCCCATTCATCCCAGGCCAGTCAATACATTCCCTTGCACGTCGGAGACATCCTTCTGCTCCAATGTGTGAAGAATGAATTTGCACTAACAAGTCTCTTCTCAGGATTCGGGGAATCACTACTCTTTGACCTCTGTAGATAATTCCATCTTGTACAGTCAACTCATCTCGACAGTGGAAGTATGGTCTTGCAGCGTCAGGAACATCTTTCAACTGATCCGGCCAGCCCTTCCAAATGATGTCTTACACTTGTTGTAGATCTGCGTCCGACTTGACTTTCTCCCGTATCTCTTTCATTCTTGGTTTAGCAATTGGGACGTAGTCTATCATGTTGATGAATTCCTGGTCCATACCTGTATCTGCAAGTTCAGGCAGGGGTGCTCTGCTTAATGTGTCGGCTAACTGCATCTGTTTCCCAGGCCTGTATGCGAGCTGTATGTCGTAGCGCTGCAGTCTTAGCAACATTCTCTGTAGACGCTTGGGTGCACTGTGTAGTGGCTTCCTAACTATAGTCTCAAGTGGCTTGTGGTCAGATTGAACGTCAACTGGCCTTCCGTACGTGTATTGGTGGAACTTTTGCAGCCCATATACAACTGCCAACAATTCCTTCTCGATTTGGGCATACCTGGTTTCGGCGTCTGTCAATGCCCTACTAGCAAAGGCCACAGGTTGACCATCTTGGAGAAGAGCTGCGCCGAAACCTGACATAGATGCATCACACTGAATCGTGACCTGACTCTGTGTGTCGAAGAACTTGAGCACAGGGTACTTGCTTACAAGCCTCTTGATATCATCGACGGCGTCATCATGAATCTGTTCCCAATGCCACTCAACATCCTTCAGAGTCAGCTGCCTTAGCGGTTCACAGGCACTGCTTAGATGTGGGAGGAACTTGCTTAGATAGTTCACGAATCCAACGAAGCGAAGTACACCTTGTACATCTGTTGGTTTCGGCATATCGAGAACAGCTTTGGTCTTTGCTGGGTCAGGCTCTAGACCATTGGATGTAAGACGATGTCTGATGAAGGTAACTTCCTGTACTTTAAATGTTATCTTGTTGGGGTTGATCCGCAGGTTGCGAACTCTGCAGTGTTCCATGAGCGCTCTGAAGTTTGCATCATGATCTACAGATGCTTCTTCAATGGAGTCTCCTTCGCCATAGATGAGAATATCATCCACAACTCCTCATACACCCTTGAGCCCTTCTATGACCTGATCTTGCCGTCGCTGGAATTCCTCTGGAGCGGAGGATATACCAAACGGCATACGTAACCAACGAAAACGTCCAAATGGGGTGTTGAAGGTAGTGAGGTATGAACTACTGTCTTCCATAGCCACATGCCAAAACCCATTCTTTGCGTCCACAACGCTAAACACTTTAGCTTTGCCAAGGTCCGGTAAGATATCCTTAATAGTTAGTAGTAGGTAGTGACTGCAGAGAATTGCCCGGTTTAGGTCTTTTGGATCGATGCAAATCCTAAGTTTATTGGGTTTCTCCACGATGACGAGACTAGATACCCAAGGTGTTGGTTCAGTGACAGGAGCGAGTATTTTAAGATTCACCAGACGCTCTAGTTCGGCCTTCAGCTTCGGCTCCTGTGCTAGTGGCACTTTCCTTGGAGGGTGAACGACTGATGCCACCGATGTGTCAAGTCGGATCTTGTATGCTCCTTCAAACTCTCCTGTTCCCGTGAAGACATCTTTGAATTCCTCTTTTACTCCCTTCAATGTTAGATTCTGAGGAATATTAATTGAGTGCATGGATGCTGTCATTACTTTATCAACCATAGTAATGTGTTCATGATCCACTCTTATCAACTTCATACTCATAGACGCGTGACTGCCTAATATTGGCGTAGCACAAGGGTCACTGAGGACAATAAAGTCTACCTTGTACTTTCTCCCATCCTTGGGGTTGACTACTTTTACAGGGCATTTGCCTAAAGGCTTGACGACAGTCTTGTCGTACATTCTCAACAACTGGGATGTCTGCTGTAATTCTGTAGTAGGAGGTAGTAGAGAACTTGGTATCAGGTTGCAGGTGGCTCCCGTGTCGACTTAAAATGAAACTGGTTTACCTGCAATGTTCATGGATGCGAATATTTGTCTGGGATATTCAGACTCCTCTTGCACCTGATGCACATCTATCACTGGCTCTGTGAGAGTGAGTGAGTTGATGGTGAAATATTCATCCGAGTCTTCATCTTCATGGATGATATTTACACGTGGTCTAGAGTGGCGAGGTGATTGCATTGTGCGACACATGGCTGGACTGTGGTTCTTCTGCTTACATCTGGAGCAAGTTTTTCCAAATGCAGGGCAGACACTTCGGTTCCTCTTATGTTCTCGCCCACAGAATCTGCACTGTATTGTGTTGCTACTTACAATTGGTTTCACTTGAGTGGCCCGTTGACTGTGCAATCTATAATTCTTTTTCTGTGAGTGATGCCCGCCGGCATGTACAGTATTCCAATTCTTTGGTTTATTTGACCAGTTCTTTTCTCTAACTGTGTGAACTGTTTGCACAGTGTCCAAGGTTTTTAATTGTTCCTTAGAAATTTCTGATGCTCTACATAAGCGTACACACTTCTCCAGATCCAAACCATCCTCTCTCAAGAGTCGTTCACGAAGTTCCTTGTCTGTAACTCCACAGACAATGCGGTCTCTAATCAGTGATTCACTCAATGTACCAAAGTTACATGTGGTAGCTAGGATTTTCAGGTCAGTTATATATACATCATAGCTCTCACTAGTGTCCTGATTCCTGGTAAAGAATTTATACCTCTCCACAGTTTCCGATTTCTTTGGAATACAATACAGTTCAAACGCATCAAAAACATGTTGTAATGTTCTTTCACCCGCTACCAAGGTGAAGGTTTCATACACTTCCCTACCTTGGGGCCCGATCAGATATCGAAAGTACTTTATTTTCGATTCTGCAGACTTGCCTTCCGTAGAAAGATCAAGGTACAGCTCCGTCTCTTCTCTCCACTTCTTCCATCTGTGTTGAAGATTAGGGGAGTGAAAATCCAACTGATTTGGAGGTTTGAGATGTATGGGTCCTCTCACAACACTCACGTGGTTGCCGCCATTTTCTATGATCTCTTGCGACTCCTCGTCTCCCATGACGATCCAATGCTGTTTGAAAACGAACGTACGACTCTCCTCACTGTACACTTCTGACACCATGTTTAAGGCTTCATCTCTGTCTTTGACAAAGACATGAATCTTGGGGTTCTAAGATACCACAAACAGTGAGAGTTTGGTGGACATACTTTACTCAGTCGGCAAGATGGCGGAACACCCAAAGTTGTGACGTCATACACATGACGTTATACAAATGACGTCATACACAAATGCTGCTAGTAGTGAGACTACTTGTCACACTGGACATGAAGAGTGGGTACCATCAGGTGGAAATTGAGGAGTGCCACAAAGAACGGACAGCCTTCACAGTAGGACCTTTGGGATTCTTTGAGTATAACAAATGCCCTTTGGACTCTCCAACGCCCCGGCAACCTACCAGCGTCTTATGGAGCAGTGCTTGGATGGATTTCATCTCCAAATCTGTCTCATATACCGTATTTTCTTGAGTATAGTGCGCACTTTTTTTCGAAAAAACACAGCTGTGTAGAAGGGGGTGCGCATTATACACAAATTATGAGTTTGGATGTTTTTTTCTCAGCACCCGTTCGTTTGCCGGACTTCGCTGAAAGGGTACGGTGTAAAAAATTTCTGCGCATAATATTCAAATTTCTTTTTTTCCAAAATATTGAACCCGCTAGAGGGGGGTGCGCATTATACATGGGTGCGCACTATACTCAAGAAAATACGGTACTTGGATGATCTGATCATATTTTCTCGTACATATGAAGAACACCTGGAGTGTCTTGAAAGAGTTCTAAAGTGCCTCCGTGACTGTGGATTAAAGGTCGCTCCCAAAAAGTGTAAGTTCTTCAAACGAAAGGTCAAGTATGTGGGCTACATTATCAGCGCTGATGGAATCGAGGCAGACCCAGATAAAGTGGACAAAATACGAAATTGGCCAACACCTACCAATCCAGAAGATATCAGGAAGTTTCTCGGCTTCGCTGGATATTAACCGGAAGTTCGTGTAAAATTTCTCTAAGATTGCAAGGCCTTTATCTATTCTGATGCCTAAGACTGCAACAAAGAAGTCCAAGAGACGACAACATCAGCAGACCGAGTGGGAGTGGAGAGCGGCACAAGAACAGGCCTTCCAGGAAATCAAAGATCGTCTTACCATACCGCCAGTCCTAGGATATGCCGACTTTCACCAGCCATTTGAATTGCACACAGATGCAAGCACCCAAGGTCTGGGAGCAGTTCTTTATCAACACCAGAACGATCAGCAGCGAGTCATAGCCTATGCCAGCAGAGGATTGAAGCCCTCTGAAAGGAATTACTCTGCGCACAAGCTTGAGTTCCTGTGTTTGAAGTGGGCAGTATTAGAGAAATTCCATGACTACCTGTATGGCAATGACTTTGTTGTTGTGACGGATAACAACCCATTAACTTACATCCTTACATCAGCAAGACTTGATGCCACTGGTCATAGGTGGCTCGCATCTCTCTCTAATTACAACTTCTCCATCAAGTACCGGCCTGGGAAAGCTGATACTGATGCAGATACTCTCTCGCGACTTCCGACTCCATCAGATCCCTCACAACTGGACCTGGTCAATGTGGACTCTGTAAAAGCCATCTGCAATGGGCTTACTACACCTAACTACATTGAGAGTCTTTGTGTCTCAGTCGATGATGATGTGGATGATGATGAAAATCTGATGATCACTGATGATAAGTGTGAAGCCAATGTTAGAGAATGGAGGAGAGCTCAGGGTAAGGACCAAGCCCTGGCTACTGTCATTGGACACTTGAGGGACAAGACAAGGCGCGACAGAATACCAGTTACAGATGATGCCAATCTCACAGCCCTTGTCAAGATATACCAGCAGCTAAGATTGAAGAGAGGAGTTCTTTATCGAATT